ATGTTGGCTGGGTTGCATTGGTTTCAGTTTGTATGGAAAAATTAGCAAAAACACTGATTTTTGGTCATTTTCAAAGGCCTCCCTACAGGTCCATAGGGGATYTRGGGGGTYGAGGGAGGGTTTATTAAAAAGTTCGATCCTTCCTCTTTCGAATAAGGGGTCGGGGGTGGGGATAGCCTGACCCTGTTTTTCTCCATAAACGATATTTAACCGGCGCGATGCTAAACATTCCCCGTAGTATTGACACATCGGGTAAGCGTGTGTGCCTACGTGCGGTATGTTATGCTATTTAAAGAAGTTTGCTTGTATATATACATATGTATGTATGTAGTTTATTGCAAAATATTCAGAGGAATTAGAAATTATTGTACGCTTATAATTTCAGACTAATACATACATACATTCCTATTTTGCGATTATACAAATGTGCATTAAGGTTGCCATTCTGTTGCGCCAAATACTGAAAATTTCCGAAAACATGTTCAATGCGTATTTTTTAACAAATATTAAATTTATACAATTTATTATTCGACGTTTAAGTTTCTTTCATCGTCATATCTTTGTAGAATAAGAATTTAGTGCTAATATGTTTGGATGAATGTGTCGGAAGTCTTTTAGAACTTATACTTTTCCACCACTAATAAGATATAAGTAAATATTATAATTTACGTTAAAAGCATATATAATACTCTCCTTAAATTGGAGAATGCGATTCAAGTTATCCCTTAGAGTTCTAGAATCTATATAATTTAATATGAAAAAACGGGTTAGCAAACAGCAATCAAAAAAATAATGGAGACTATAAGAAATATTAAGATTAATTTAACGTAAATCTCCAGTAAGAATGTTTTGGAATACATATGTAATTATTACTTATTATTACTATCAAAAGGTTGCGAATAAATAAAAAGTAATTCAGTTAACATTTGAATTCAATTTTCTTGTAATCCTTAAAATCTAATTAAATTTAATTTTGAACTCCAAATAACGAACTGAAAAAAAGATAAAATGAACAAATTTCCAAAACGGCGTTAACAAAAATGGATTTTAATCCCGAAAACCCCACAAAATTCGCAACGCGGTCATTATTCATGCAAGTTTAAAAAATATAATAAGCCACTTTACTTTATTAGTAAATATGTACATATGTATATGTAGGCACTTACTAACCAAAATGAAATTTACGCGTGTTTGGGTGTTTTTAATTTTTTTTTTTATGTGAATCTGTAAACTAGAACAATTAGGACTTATAACCACGAATATTCAAAAAAAAGTCCATTCGTTGTGTCAATCTGAGCATTTTGTTGTGGAAAATCCCATTGTTATGTATTTCAGTCATGTCATGGTATATAACAACCGTTAGGTAAACAATTCAATGTGAACTTCGCCCAGCGATCCTTTTTGCTGAAATTTACGTACGAATCAAAGTCGAGAAGAAAAGTGATATTCCGCCATAAAAACGCGGGTCTGATTTTTCCAAATTTGAAAATTTCACTCGCCAGGCATGAGATTACCTTTTTCACAAACTTTATTATAATGTAGCAAAAAATATAATACTTTTTCTTCTCTTAGACAAGTAAGCATTGTACCGCCCTCGTATTTGAGTTAAAAAAATAACACAACAATAACAAAAGTAGATGTTTTCTATCATTCTTGATAATAATGTTGATGAAAGGATGTTGCATCACCAACTGAGGGAGGTCAATGGGATTTTTCATTCCGATATTAAATCCAGCAACAAAAATGGCTCCCATATATTACGTTTTTTAAACTGTTCAGGCAATAGAGCGTTGATATACAACAATTTCGTTATAAGTTATGTTAAATAATAAAAAGCATTTTCTGCATCAATTTTGGTTAGCTTCTCGACTGGATTATTTATATATTTTCAGCAATATTCATTCACTATAAATACGTGATAGGTGTAATAAATATATTTACATCTTGAGGAAATATTTAATAAACAACAATTAAAACACCGATTTCAAATAAAGAAAATGTGATACAGTAATTTTAGTATTAAAGCGTATATGTGAATAAATTTTACGTAAATAATACATTTTTATTTCATAAATTAATATAAAAATTTCATAATTAAAAAGATTTTTTTAAACGAAGAAGTAAAACAATAAATGAGTGTAAAACCAAAATAAATAAGCCGTTCAATATTTATATGTTAGACATATTCCATTTTTAATYAGCGCTTTAAGCTTTCTTTGAATTTTTTCGATTGCATTTATAATCCAGCCAGCATTATTCTAGGATCTTCTACAGCAGCCTTGACTTTACGTAAGAACATTACAGCCTCACGTCCATCAATCAGTCGATGGTCGTAAGTAAGAGCAACATACATCATTGGACGTATGACAACCTAACGATTTAATATGAATAAATTAATTTGTTTATACTTAAAAAGAAAGTTTTACTCACTTGTCCCTTTACCGCAACTGGTCGCTCAAATATGCCATGCATACCCAATATAGCACTTTGGGGAGGATTTATAATTGGCGTTCCCATCAACGAACCGAATACGCCTCCATTACTGATGGTGAAGGTTCCACCATCCATATCTTCAATGGCGATTGCATTCCGTTTTGCTTTTTCACCAAGTGCAGCCAAGGCAATTTCAATATCCGCATAATTCATACTTTCGACATTTCTTATCACGGGCACTACTAGACCCTTGGGTGTAGCAACAGCCACTGAGATATCCACGTAATCGCGATACACGATTTCCTAAAATTATATAAATACAATACATTACTAACTTAAATTAAATAAAACATTATTATAGAATTACCTGACCGTCAATAACAGCATTAACTACAGGCTGATCTTGTAATGCGTAAGCAGAGGCTTTAGAGAATATAGACATAAATCCTATCTTGATGCCAAACTTCTTTTGGAAAGCATCTAGATTACTTTTACGGAATTCCATGGCAGCGCTACAAATAAATATTTATTTAAATAATAATACATTTTATAAATTAAAAAAACTTTCAATTATAAGAAAATATTTTTAAAGGAAAACGTAAAACAATGAATCAGTTTAAAACCAAGAAATGTACAAATGACAAACGATTGCCTAATTAAAGGTGTTTTAAAGTAACACTTACATACCTCATATCGATTTCGTTGAACGTGGTCAACATCGCGTTTGTATTTTGTGCGTCCTTCAAACGAGATGCAATCTTTTGGCGCATTCGATTCATTTTCACACGTTGTTCGGTTCGGGTGCCGGTAATCTGACGCGAATAATCACTTGGTGGAACCTTTATTTGTGGAGCGGCTTGAGCAGGTGGCACAGAAGCAACTGGAATTTGGCCCACAGGTGCTGAGGGCTTAGGAGGTGGTGGTGGAGGAGCAGCTCTTGCTGCAGGTGGTGGTGGTGGTCTTGCAGCCGGAGGAGCTGGTTTTGGTGCCGGTGCTGCAGCTGGAGCTGGTGCAGGAGCAGCAGGTTTTGCAGGTGGAGGTGCAGCAGCTGCCGGTGCAGCGGCAGCTGCAGTTGGCGTACCTTCCGCCTTTTCTATTTTGAACAAAGGTTGACCGGCTTTCACTGTTACACCATCTTCTACTAATATCTCACGAATTACACCTCCGAAAGGCGCAGGGACAGGCATTGCAGTTTTGTCGGTTTCAACTTCCATAACAACCTGATCTTGAGCCACATAATCTCCAACTTTAACAGTAAATCTTAAAAAAAAATACTTTTTAATTTAGAGCCTTCTGGAAGTACATTATATAATTATATAGTATTATGTATGCATCTATATAGCTTATGTACCTTCTGATCGTATTTGAACCGTGTTGATAAAACAAATAATACAAATCTTTATTATCGCCTCCAAAAAAGGCTCTAAGCAATATAAGCGCTTTCGACAGAATGTTAAACAGCTTCGAGGTCATATTCATAAATCCACTTCTCATTCAAAAGTGATTGGRCGACTCGTATGAGACAGGTTTTCGATTACTTCACGACCTTCACTGAATGCTTTATGCTACCAAAATACGTGTGTTCGTGATAAAGACGCCATAGTTTTGTAGGAAATTTACTGCTCTATAAAAATGGATGAGACGAGATATTCATCGTCAAACATCAATGCATATTAGGGTGAATCAAAAAMAAAAAAAAAATTTTCGTTTGGTACACTGAAAAATAGGTTCATATAAAGTTAAAAAACAACTTGACAACTCATTTTAATTCTGTAATATTCGAGCATTTGATCACACAAATCAACTCCCTCCCTTAAACATGTTATAGTCTTCAATTACTGAAGGTATTTCAACGGGCAACCGGCGTTTCAGATTTCTATTCCACCTCTCAACTTCACCAACGGGGTCCCACACACATTTACTTGAAGCAACTATAACCGCTTTTGTATTCTTCCATTTCACAAGAGCTGCGTTATTATTATTTATAAACCGACGTATATCATCTCGATTTATATCTTTATCCAGAGGGAAGTTAACACATTTAGGTATCCTGTTTGCCATTATTGCACCTGTTGCAGGATAATTCATTTGGTAAAACGATTCCACGAGTGGTATTGTAGTAAAAAACCTGTCGAAATATATTTGGCTGCCTTTCGGTAAGTTGCTTTATTAGTCACATAACTATAGATGGCCCATGTCCAAGACCGCAATCTTCAAATGTCCCTGCCCCTTGGAAAACTTCAAAATCTACTACAATGCCTGTAGAAGTTGCGCATACAAGAGTTTTTAATCCAATAGGCCGATGTTTTGATCTGATTACTTGCCGAGCAGGGAATCTTCCAGTGAATGGTATCATTTGCTCGTCAATCGAGTAGTTTGTGATATCAGTTGCCAATTCATTGCAGCGCTCCCTAATCATGTCTATGATGGGTTGAACTCTCCAAAATTTGTTACTGGAATCTAGAACAGAAAAGTCAACAAAGTGTATGTCTAACCGTAGTTGGAGAAATTTGTCTCGAGACTTTAAATTAAATATGGCAGGAATTTTGCATTCATTTGACCAGTACATTCTTATAGCAGGGTAACCAAGGCAGCCCATTATGATTGCACACCCGTAAAAGCGATAGACCACGTACTTTTTGGTAAATTTCACCACAATCTTATAGTGGTATTCCGGAAAATAATTACTTAAGTATTCTAAAGGTGTCTTCACCCTTATTAGATTTTGGCAACCATAACTTATTCAAGTTTCATCTACATTGTCATCATCATCACTGAAGTCTATATCAGACTGATCTAAAATGTGTAGGACTGCTTCAACGTCATCGCTGTTGCCCAAATTGAAAAATCTTCCTAGAGATTGGGAAGATAACACAATTGTGAGCATGCAGCGAAACTGTACTCTGTGCCTGAATAAGACAATTGTGATATCTGTATTTTACTGCCCTCCAATTAATAATAACTATCAGCAAATTAATTTAAATGAGCACAATCACCTGAGAAATTTTATGGTAACCTCAATCACTACCATAATTTTACTTTTATATGTTTAAAAAGAATAAAAACACTCACCACTTGAACGCATGTCTAAGCTTGCTAAATTACTCTTTGAAAATAAAGCTTGTGATCCGCTATTTATCGTTCAAATGTTTTTTTTTTAACATATAAAACATTTAACATTCAAAATATGAAAAATAAATTTTTTAGGCCTCTCCAAAAACCTATGACTTTCATCATTCATAATAATTTAGTTCATTAGTTATAAAATTCATAAGAAATAAAAAAAAAATTGCCAAAAATAATCAAACTTTAACTGTTAATATATTTTAAATGGTTGGGTTTACATCGTAAATCGTACAGACCTGTTTTGTAGAGAATTTAATTTTCTACAAAATCTAAGGAATAGGATATTTTTTCAAGTAGTTGGAAGCGAGATATAAAGTTTTCTATATGATAATAAGAAAAAATAGAAAATTGTAAGTAGGAGGATTTTCCCGTTACAATTAATAACTCATTCTTGGAGAGGCTTCCTTAGAGGTGTCTAGGAACCTATTTTCAGAGTACCCACCGAAAAAAAAAGAAATTTTTTTTGAATCACCCTAATGGACACTATAGGAGTTTCAAAGAATCGATATTTATTTTTTAGTTTAATTCTACCTTTTAGTCATAAAAATAAGTTTATATTTTCGCATTGCATTTCTATCTCCTCTCGAACTAATAGCCGAATAAGATAATTATATCATAGATAGAGCACCTTGAGTCCTTGTATCGATTTTTTTTATTGTGTGAGAGTATTTGTTTGGCTTTTGGAGAATGTGGTCAAATTATAATCTCAGCTGAAAGAGTTCATCAATGCGTATTGCTCGCTTCAATCAAAACTTCTGAGTTCGTAATCACTCTGGCAGTTTGAACGCCTGTTTTAGCTAACCCAATATTAAAAAATGAACTAAAGCAGAAATAGGAGTAGGCGCTGCAAGGGCCGAGGGTAATTAAGATGACAATGAAATCTGTGCTCTACGACAGTGACCTCCTAAACACTCGAGAGTATATATAAATATGCAAAATTTAAAACTCATATCACTTTGTTCTAAAGGAAATAAAAAATGGGTAATGAATATTTTTTGTTGCGCTACTGCATGCAATAACATAATTTTGTTATATAGAAAGTGGTTCGGCCCGAAACAATCTTAAATTAATAAATGTTATTGCAAAATTAAAAAAATTTGAATTTCAGATTCTGCGGAGGATACTAGATGGGAAAGAACTAAAAACATTAATTGAAACCCAAAAATTTTCTGTGAAATCACGTTTTTGACTCTACGCTGGCTAAAAACTTAAGTAGAGATTGAACTTTCGAGTGAAGAAATGTTGAACATCATTGCATTACACCCCAGAAGACTGAATGTTGTTTTATAAGCACTTTTTGCTTTTGCGAAAAATGTTGTGCAGTTGAATAGTAAATACACATAATTTAATTAATAATTCACGTAGTGTATATAAAAAAAATAAAAAGTACAACTTTGCAGCACTARCTACAACATCACACAATTCGACCAACATAAACGGTTTAATGTCCGGTAGAAATTCCGAAATAACTATATCGGATGTAGGGGGCTGAGGGAAGGTTTGGTGATTGCATAAACCTATGGAATTACGCAAGTATACTCAGAACATATTTGCACGCAACTATGTGAAGATAATTTACACACTGATCGACATATCCAGCATAAATTTTGTTAGAATATGGGACTGTAATAATTTAAACCGTGGATATTTTCCGCATTAAGCTAAAACAGTTCATAAACATTTCCAAGCAACAGATGACTCTTCCTAATAGATTCGTTGTACTCAATTAGAGTTTTAGACAGTTTAGCTGTGGCACTTTATACTTTTCCGCCCATCTTCAATTCCAACCATCTCATGGAGCCAAATAATATGTATATCAAGTCTTATCAGTTGCGAAGTTGCAGTTTAATGGTCCGAGTCGATTTTCTTGAGATTGTAAATATAAATATATTTATAATATAATATTTATGAAGCTTATTAATATTTAATAACGATTTGCTAATTTACTTTCTTACTAATTCAGTTTTTTTAAATTAACAATCAAAAAGTAGATAAGAAAGACCCGAGTTAAATACACTCTGTAACATATAAGATTAAAAATGTTCACTCACTTGACATCTCCTTCGGCTACGGACTCAGGGAAAGGAGGCGTTTTTACCGTCTCAGTGGTCCACAAATTACTAGTGGTGTGAAAACCTTGAGTTCCAAAAGAATTGATAGTTCTGAAACCATTTTCGTTAGCTTTTCTTGCAAACCATTTATATATTGAATATTACCTTTGAGAGGGGTATGCGACGGTAGGAAGGGCTTCACTTCTTGTAATAGCCTGGGTTTGTGTTACCACTGATAACTTTGAAAATTGGCGTATTACACATGCTGATTTAACCTAAAAGAGAAACAAGGCATCAACTTTGATCTGAACAAAAATTGATTGCACAACAGATTTGTAACGTCATGTGATACACATAAAAATCATTCAATGAAATAAAATAATTTATTTTCATTTAAAGTTTCAGAATTTTTTGATATGTTACATAACCATCAGTTGCAAATACTGTCTTTACTCCGGATTGGCCTCCAAATTTCTACACTTGCTCTGTACTGTTTTCGCAACACATATTTTATCAATACATACCTCCTGAGTAAGTGCAGCTTGCATTCCCAGTTTAAGGACATCGCGTGGGAGACGCCGTACTGTTATCGAAATTAAGCCCGACATTACAATGCGCCTAATTCAAGAGATTTTTTAATTGAAATATTCTATATTTCGGATTCCCGAAAATTTCTTGTTATTTCCTACACCACACACTTTCCCGCAAACGAACCAATCGAAAGCAATTTTGCACTGCTGTCATAGCACTGGAAAATCATCTGACAGCGAAAAATATGCAAACAATTGGAAAAAAATAACAAATTGTTCCCATTGCCTTTAATTCTGAAGAGTTATACATCGAATATTTTTTAAGAAGTCATTTGACACAATAACTTCAAATTTAAAAGAAATCTAGAAACTTGCACTTTCTCTGTGACTGGAAATCTACCGTTCATACTTAAAAAACATTTGCAAATAAACGCGTTCAAACGAATCTTCATAAACACAACTTATTGTTGTAAAGAGGAAAGTAAACCCTATTGAAAACGACAATACAGWTAATTAATAACCCCTTTTAACTACTTATTTTCTACGCTAGGTGTCTTTGAAAATACTGCTTCGGATCGAACAAATACCACCTATGGAGGAATAGTTCCTCCATTCTATATCAATAAAATAATTGCAAATTTCTTTAAAAATATTGAAATTATTAAAACAAACAAAATTTCCGAAAAATCCGATTTTGTGTTGTGAGGTTAGTTTTCAGACATCACAAATTTGTTATTTTGTGTATAATTGTGAGCATTTGGAAAACTGTTCATGTAAAATAGTGAGGGTGGTGATTTTGCGAGGGCATGAGAATAGTGTGTGAAACACAATGCTCGCGACAGACTGCAGCAGCACTACAATGAACTGAAAATGGCGTTGCAAATCTTTCTACATGAACATTTGTGTTAAGAARGCAACACAAGACAACACAGCTGTCCATTTTGCATGTACACAATTTCGGTTGTGGCCATACTAATACCTTGCACTTCAATGAAATTTTAATATTTTGTTCAAAGTGAAATTTTTAAGCAAAAAATAAGTAAATATGTAAATTTATTTGTTCTAAATTATCAATTGCAACTATAAATGATGTAACAGAGCTATTTTATGCTTTTGTTTGTAAAATAACGTCAGGGTTGTTAAAGCTCTGAGTAATTTCTCATTTTACATATTAGTGGCATCACCACTCATTCTCATCTCTCTGTCTTTCATTCTACTGTCAACTCTACTGTCGTCGCTGGCAAATATAGGATAAAATTGAAGTTAGCGAGAACGACAACTGTCGGCCTACAGTCGTGCGGCTGTCAAAATAGGTTCGTCCATAAGAACGTGTGTATTTTAATATTTGACAGATGTCGTTTGCAGTCTGTCGCGAGCATTGTATTCCAGACATAGGGCTGTTAACAGCTATACGCTTAGATTTATTTTTGACTGCCGTCCCAAAACTGCTGTCAAAAATTCCTCATTCCCATAAGTTTTCTGTGACACATACCTAAATAAACGCGGCAGTAACGCTGAGCATTGAAAAATTCGATTTTGACAATATTTAAGTAGTAAAGCTGACTGGAGAAAACGAAAATATAAATATAAAACCAGCTGCTCAACCTTTTATTTAGTTACGCTCGTTAATGGGTTTATCTTTTTTTTTACGTAGAAAAATTGAAATTGACGAATTGCGCTCAATCTAGAAATAGCAGTAATTTAAAAAATATATTATTAGAACTACTTGGAAGGTGTTCTTTTGGCTTTCTTACCAGGAATATATTAATTATTTAGTAAAAAAATTAAAAAAAATAATAAAAATTCAATGAGTAYATTAAGGAATGTGATTAAATTATATATGGACAGCATTAAATTCATTACAAACCACATATTTAACATTATGATAGAACTAGTGGGTTGTTTATATAAAACAGGAAGTTGATATTCCTTCGAAATTTGTATACAATTCTTTGCGTATTTAAAATGTAGACATTTAATTTACCCTATAAAGGGTTTGGCCGATAGCATATTCGTTTTCGAACCCGTCCACCACTAACTGTTCACACATTCCTACATACATAGTTCCAATGTTGAGGAGAAGTGAAATAGTTGCAACTCTTTTTAAATTGGCTGATGTGGCCAGCTTAAAGTGTACTATGCTTATCGAACGAAAATGGAATACTTTCTATCGATATAATAATTTAATGGAAATTGTTAATAGCGGCTCTCAAACTGTACTATCAGCTGTTTCCTCGTATACTTGGTCTTATGAAATCGCATTGTCTAATGGAAATGTTAGTGGATTCCTAAAATCAAAACCTTACCGTATAACAACATTCTTTATCAAGGCAAGTTATGTCAGTTCAATATAAAAGATTTCTTAAAGTTCTGGAGAAGTGGCCGACTGACAAAACAAAAGTGGGCAGGTATGCAATAACGTTATTTAGTCATAACTTTTCATTTTTCCATTCTCACATTGTAGCAGCACGTTATCTAATGTACTTACGATAAATTATGTTCTATCAGTCAATACTATTGCTGATTATTGAAAGTACTTGATTTGTGTTTTACAAAAGTGCATCTCAAGTACAGATTATTTGGCTTTTCGTTTGATTATTGACTTATTGCACTACTACTATTATAGTTGCAGTATTATAATATTCTTAAAAGAGGTGCTGTCGGTAAAAGGTAGTTAAGATGGTGCAAGATCAATTTTTGTGCCAGTACTATTTGGCCCTCCTAATAAATCAAAAGATTTACAGTGTGTTAATTGTTATTGTTGAAAATGTGCTCAAAATACGCTTATCAAAAAATTTCGGAAGAATACATCCTTGGTGTTTCATCTACCGAGTAAGTTAAATCCTTTATATATAGTATTTCGTTTAAATCCGGCTGAAGCGTAGGGCCTCCTCGAGAATTGTTATGTTGTCGCGATGGGGACGGCAGTAGCTTAGCTACTGCCAGGACCTCCCAATCCGGAAAGGACAAAGGTATGAGCTGAAGCCAAAACAATCCATATAACACAATCCGAGGATAAACGTATATTTTTGTGTTAGGTACGAAAGAAAGAAATTCTGCCGATACAAAAATAACAACAACAACAGCCCAGGGCTAATCACTTGATTACTGAAGCCAAAATGTTAAATGGTTTAATATGTTGAGTTTTTTTATATGAATCGATACAGGCAGAATTATCCTACAGTTTGAAGACGCTGATAAGAAGGTAGTAGTGATGAAAAAAGTTTAACTTTTTTTTGTTGTAGACCTTTTTTTATTACTCAGATTAAGTTAAAAATTATTTGAGTTCGATGTGATTGATTTAATTTCTTCGATTCAATAATGTCAAGTTTGCTTTCAACTCTAATTTCGATGGTTATATATTGAAGTTCACAATCTCAAGTATTTGTTAACAGATCATCCCAATTTGTAAGAATACTAATTATAATTTCCTCACATCTCTTTTAGGATTTTATATCTGTATCGTACATTTAAAAGCGTGTCTATTGCTACAAACATGTTACAAATCCTTCATTTCATTAATATTTTAAATGTTATTTTATAATTCGTTTCATTCTAACATACATTTATCGAATTTTAATAGGGACTTGGGAGAGCAGATACGAAAGCAAGTCAAAATTCTCTCTAATCCAGCTGGCCTTACTGTTGAGGCCAATGTCGAATTAAATGCACAAATTGATTCTTTAGAAAGATTAGCTAGTAATATTTACGCTAAGAAATATCAGCGGAGATACGCTTCTACAGCAACAGGATTGTCAGCGGAACAGTGCAGTCAAGTGCTGTCGTCTGAATTTTTACAGTACCTCAATGATGAAAAAGTAGGCGAAAAGGGCGAAAGTGATTAAAATATTATACGAAAAACTGTTCTAAAAACCAAAACAAACATTAGTTTATACTTAGCAGGGGATCGTTTTTTAAATATCTTATTAATGATAATGCTTCGTCGAATTAACCAAGCCTCAGTATATTTAAAGTCTAACTACAGCACTGCTACGAATAGCCCTGATGGACAAATAGTTAGACATGTACCTGTGCTCTGTAAGCAAGCAATTAACTATCTTAACCCAGGTCCTCGAAAAATTTTTATCGATATGACTTTCGGGGCCGGTGGTCACAGTAAGCACATTTTAGAAAAACACAACGATATAAAAGTATTTGCCCTTGATCGAGATCCAGTTGCATATGAGCTCGCTATTTCCTTAAGTAAAGAATATTCAAATCGACTAATACCATTATTGGGAAAATTCTCTGATTTGCCGAAGCTTTTAAAAGAGCATAAAATAAAGAAACATTCTATTGATGGCATACTGTTTGATTTCGGTTGCTCTTCGATGCAATTTGACGAAGCGGACCGTGGCTTTTCTATTTCTAAAAATGGTCCTTTGGACATGCGCATGGATCGTGGACCAAATGGTGACCAAGTTACAGCCGCAGATGTTCTTGCTCGTGCCGAGGAAGGTGATCTAGTGAAAATACTGCGAATGTATGGTGAAGAGAAAGGAGCGAAAAAAATTGCTCGAGCGATCGTTGAGGCACGCTGTTTTTATAAGATTGATACTACCAAACAGCTATCTGATTTAGTGGCCTCGTGTCTTCAAGATACACATCGATTGGACAAAATTCAGCGGCCCACACACGTAGCCACAAAGACATTTCAGGCATTGCGCATATTCATTAATAATGAATTAAATGAGATCAATTACGGAATGATTTTAGCTAACGAGTATTTGAGACACGAAGGCCGACTTGTCGCTATAACCTTTCATTCACTTGAGGATACAATAGTAAAGCGACATATACACGGGAATGTAATCGAAGGCCTTGCAAATCCGGTGCCGTTGAAATATTGTGGTCATGATATATCACATGATAAGGAATTAATTGAAATGTTTGTACGATCGAATTGGAAGCAGCTACATAAACACGTAATCGTTCCCAACGAGGAAGAAGTGATGAAAAACAGCCGAAGTAGATCTGCTAAACTGCGAGCTGCAATTAAAGTAAAATGAAACTGTTGAAAATAAAATAATAAAGTTAAAAAAAAAAAATATTTAGGCAATCAGCTAAAAAAATTTAGACGTTGTACAGAATTCATATGAATTATAACAGGAAAGGAATGAAAATAAAAAAAAATTAAGAAACGAACAAGTTCATATATTTCCACATCCCATCTTCAAGTGTAGTGATTAGATATAGTATTAGAGTAGTTAATTTTATTTACGCGTTCGACGTAAGAATAGTTCAGTAAAAGTGCGAAATTTCATATTAGCTTCTTTGAATGAAATTCAACGAAATTGTTAATTGCGGAAATTCCAAATTCAAATATATAAAATAAATTAGAAATTAAGATGATGCGTATAGGTGGTAATAAATCAATGTCTATTGTTCTTTATTCACATAGTGTCATTTATGTATAATATATTGCAACGGTTATTAAATTAGTTAATTGACGGGAATTTATTTCCAATAAATTTAAAAGGTATAATTTTCGAACTATGTATCGCGTTTAATAATTTAAATTTGTAAAACGCAAAACGAAACACGATAAAATAATTTCATAATGTGAAAGCTTTATTGATTTTCATAACAGTTTCTGTAATATAATTTTAACTTTTAAATTAATTGGGTTACTTTTAAATTTACTCTATTTTTAAAGTGTCCTTTATCCAAAATAAAGGACTAACGTTTTGACAGAAAAGACATCCCCACGCCATTATGTTTCATCCCCATGCTTAAATTGTACATTTTTGGTACTCTATTCAATTAGAACAGAGAAGAAATCGATTATAAAAAAAAAAAAATTTAATTTGAACAGCARCTCAAACGAAGTTTTTTGACGGGTTGAGTTGATATATGTAGATAGTATCAAAACTTAAACCAAAATGCAGTTGTATGGAAACTGTAATAAGGGCCTCAATAAAATAACGTCCATATATATTTTGTATATACAGACAGGGGCTTTCTAAAAGGTACCATCACGAATACATTTTGTGATCATCTGCGACAAGGAAATTTGTACGATACCACAAATAAGCTGAGCAGATGTTACTACTTATCCAGTAGAGTGTATATCTTGTGTATAACATTGCTCCGTGAGTTGAAACTTATACCATCTAGGGCCTTTTCAATTTTACCTAGTGCAGTTAATATGGATAGAATTTCTAACTTTATACATAAAGGTTATTCGGTTCAATTTCTATTTTACTAGTGATTTGATTTTCAATGATGTTTGCAATAATAACAAAGAAGAAAGCGTTAACTTCGACTCCACCGGAGCACCCTTCACAGGTGTATTTCTTTTAGTAACTATATGTCCAGTTTGTATGGAAGCTATATGCTATAGTAATCCGATCTGAATAATTTTTTCGGAGATTATGTTATTATCTCAAGCAGTAATCCATGTCAATTTCGTGAAGATAATACGTTAAATCAGGAAATTTCCCATGTAAGCATTTGATTCCGATCATTCAGTTTCCATTGCAGCTATATGCTATAGTTAACCGATCTGAACAAATTTCTTTGGAGATTACATTGCTTCTTTAGAAAATAATGCATACCAAATTTCGTGAATAGATCTTGTCAAATGCAAAAGTTTTCCATGCAAGAACCGGAATCAAGTTCAGTTTGTATGGCTCTATATTATAGTAAGCCGATCTGAACAATTTCTTCGTATATTACATAATTATCTTAGAAAATAACATGTGCAAACTTTTGTTAAGATATATTGTCAAATGTGAAAGTTTTCCATACAACAACTTGACGCCGATCGTTCAGTTTGTTTTACAGCTATATGTTACAGTGGTCCGATATCGGCCTTTTCGACATACCAGCAACTTTTTGAAGAGAAAATCACGTTTGCAAAATTTCAAAACGATATCTTAAAAACTGACTAGTTCGTATATATACAGACAGACGGACATAGCTAAATCGACTCAGCTCAACATACTGATCATTTATATTTATACTTTATATGGTCTCYGACGATTCCTTCTCTCTGTTACAAACTTCGTGACAAACTTAATATATCCTGCTCAGGGTATAAAAACGAAATGACAAGTGTGAGATCGCTTATTGTCAGATACCTCAACACATAAGCAATTTAACAGTGGTGCGACCCATATGCTCATATTACTTTATATGAAATAATATTAATTAATAATCTTTATGTTCATCGCATCAGAGATTATCTCAATTGTACAACGAGAAAACCCAAAGCAAATAGTGAAAAAATATGATACAATTTAAAATTTTGTTATATGGAAGTATAATGACTTCTCAATTCCRTACACATTATTAAAACTCTTCATAAAGCTGACAAGATAAAGTCATGACCCAAAATAGGTTAAAATTTGTCGAAAAGGTCCGTTGGTGTCGCACCTATTGTCAATTCTTTACACTTAAGGAAATGAGATTTGCTAAGACGGATTTATAACAAATGATATTGTAGAGCCGAATATTACAGACCCAACGAATATGAATTATAGAGCCATGGAAAACGATGAGGATTTTGAAGAAGAAAATATTCAGCCGCCCTCCTAAAATGAYGTAATACTTGCCTTTCAATTTAAAATTCCTGTTTAAATACGATTATTAATACTGGCGATCACTACAAAGTACACACAGATTAAAATAACTTTTCAGTGWAGCAAACGAGCAAAAAATAAACAGGATTTGTCCGGAAAGTAATAGRACTGAGTCGATTTAAAAAAATTTATTGAACCAATCATTCCAATTTTTTTTAAAACGCTTAAAATAGGATCCTTCTGTTTTGACGCAGCGTTCCTATTGCGTTTTCCAAGGATTGAACGAGTCACGAGAGGMATTCTCCGAAATAGCCTTGAGCTTGCTGATGGGTTCCCTTCTGTCGTCTCAAAATTCTTGCCTTTCATCGGCCTTTTCAGGCAAGGAAACAAAAAAATTTCGGGATCATGCACAAAGATCCATGACTCGTCACCTGTAATTACGATATTCAAAAATTGGGGGTCACTTTCACACATGTTCAAATTTTCTTGACACATTTCCACTCGCCGCAATTTCTGGTCGTCAGTGAGCACTTTTGGGAACATCTTCGCCCACACATTTCGCATGTTCAAGTGCTCCATCACAATCGCGACAGAACGACAGATTTTGATAAATTTAACATCTGGGCATACTTAGTCGACGGTCTGAGTTCAAAACTTTGCGYACACGAGTCACATAGTCTAGAAAGGTGCCACCGAATCACACCACTTCTTRCTAAAGCAACATCTGGGTAAGYCTKCTTGATCATATCAAAYGTCTCTGTCGCAGATTAACGAGTTTCACACAGAATTTATCGCGTACCTCTGCTGTAACGAAGTACGTTCGGAGACAACTGATCAGACGTTCGTTCGTTAGGTGGGAACGCACTCTACCGAATCMAGTCAGTGCGCGCAAACTCAAAATACAGTCGAGGCGAAAGAAAATAAGTATTACTTTCCGGGCAAATCCTGTATGTTCAGTCCAAAACTGTGTATAAATCTATGTATATATTACACCTTTACTTAATGTTATATTTTAATGAATTTCTCTATAACTCGAAGTCTCTCTAACTCGAAATTTTTTTGTGTGTAATGGTGATTCGAATTTAGGAAGATCAACTGTATTACGGTTTGGGGATTCTAGTTCACTTTATTACCTTTACTGTCGGTCAATATGTTTGACATTTATAGAAGGTACATATGTATATGTATGTATGCTTGTATATAAACTTAAATTTTAAGCTTTCATATACAAAATTGTGATAACACATTCTACCAATTGTTACAATATAATCTCACAGTTATTAGCTGACACATGTACGAATGCATGTCTTATCTCTCGAGGAATAAAAAAGACAAATTGTAAATGTGTATGTATGTGAAAATAAATATGCAAATATGTGTGTATGTGGAACCACACATGCAAGTATATAATATTTGGGAATATACATATATATCCGTATATTAGGGTGTCTCAATATACAATGTCGATATGCACTTACTGAAACTTGTATGTACATATATGAATATGTTATGTACGTAGGGCAAAAATATTATTAGAGAACTATACTTACCTATCTTCAAAAACACCTTAAAATTACATATGAAATAAGTACAAATAAGTTTTTGAAAATACGAAATTTGTTTCAGTGTACATTTTTTATCAGAATAAAAAGTAACACATAAGTACAACTTACTATTTTCCGGCTCTTTTGTTAGCAGTGGTCAACGCTGAGTTCTAACCAAACAGATTTTGAATATGCGTTCTTATTTAAGTTTAAGAACTCAAAAACAATCAAACTAGGTATATACAATATTTTATAAAAGCACGGTATATACCGTTTCGGAATTTTTTGGAGTCTCCTAATACTTTTATTTGGATTTATAAGAGAGATAGTAGAGTTTTCAGCGTATCCGCCGAACGTTGTCAAGTTGCAACCCGCCTATAAAATCTTTACATAACAAATTACTTAGCTATAATTTAGTATTAAATCAGTTGTTACACCTACTATACTTATCCAGTTCTAAACATCCTGTGCACCGCGAATGAAATATATTTAGTTTTTTTTTTTTTWAATTAACTTAAATTCGGTTTTCTTAGCAGTTTACCAAGAGTAGTTTAAATATCCCCAATCAGTAGTCATATACCGTTCACATGCACCTACTCTTAAATATGCCCTACAAGCAATCGCTCGCGCTCAAAATTATGAGAGAACGATCGACACTGTCAACAGATAATTTTTAAGGCTTCTATGTCTTTACCAGTTTGCAATTCTGGTATCATACATATGCACAATTTGCAAATATTAAATAGCTATCAACTATTGGTTTAGTTTCATCACGCCCCTTTTACCCTCAAATAGACATTATCGACACATTTGGGTGATAATATTTGTAATCAGTTGTTGAATTAAAACAAGTTTACTTGCATGACCTGAAGATCACTTCGATGATCCAGAACAAGCTGCATTTAATTTGTGTTTCTGATCAAGCTGGGCTACAAATTCGTTAAATACTAGTCATAGAAGTGCAGTTCGCTTTTGACGTTTGAATAGAGCGGTTGAGATTAACTTCTGTAAAGGAGAGTGGCATACTTTTGAACTTACTTTTTTGTGCTTTAGATCCTTTCGAGAAACTTCAACAAAAAATATGTCTGGTAGCGCCAAACTCATTTCAGGCACCGAAGTGGCTAAGTAAGTGTTTTTGAATTTGAATCAGTGTGTCAGACTCAACATTTCCTAATYGTTTTTAAGTGAAATTCGTGCGTCTTTAAAACGGCAAATTGATGTTGTAAAGGCTAAGCTCTCCAGTTTTACACCCGGCTTGCGGATTTTACAAGTGGGTGGGCGTGAAGATTCAAACGTTTACATTCGCATGAAGGTAAAGGCTGCAACAGAAATTGGCATTACCGTTGAACACATAAAACTTCCAAGAACTGTGGCCGAAGTCGATTTGCTGGAGAAGGTAAGTYATCCATTCAGTCAAGTGTTTATGCCAAAACGTTTATCAACAATAAATCAATCAAAAACTAGATGTGGATAAATGGAAAGTAATAATCAGTAATTTCTGTGAACAAATATTTAAGTAGTTCATACGTATACTTCAGAAGTATATATCATAAATATTTTTGTACATATATAAACTATGTACATATATGTATAAGAAGAATGTAATCTATCTATTCTAGATAACGGAACTGAACTTAGATCCCAATGTACATGGCATTATAGTGCAAATGCCTMTTGATGCTGAGACTAAAATTGATTCTCATAAGATAACGGACGCCGTTTGTCCAGATAAGGATGTCGATGGGCTACATACCGTAAATGAGGGACGTGTTTCCATCGGAGATTTAAATGGATATCTACCTTGTACACCATGGGGTTGTATTGAATTGATTAAACGGACGGGTGTACAAATTGCAGGAGCACAAGCTGTGGTCCTAGGTAGAAGTAAAATCGTTGGTACACCTGTGTCACAGCTGTTAAAATGGGAGAATGCCACAGTGACTGTTTGTCATTCCAAAACTAAAAACCTGGAGCAAATTGTAAGTATATTCGATATTCGATAATACTGAATATTTGTTTCCTAATTYTTAAGCCATTTGGAATTTGATAATTAATAAACAAATTCCTCTTAATTGT